CCAGGATAGGAAGCTGGCTGGTTTAAGCCGTCTAACTTGAATTAGCCTTATGTGCGGTATTGTTATGCAAATGAACCAGATAAGCACAATCTGCACATGCTCAGAAAAACAAAACTTTCCTTAGCCACACCATGGCCACACTGCGTATCGGCTAGGCGTACAGCTAGACCTAGCCGAGAATTACGGTACGGTAAAACAAAGCAAAATGAGAGTACTAATTTCACTTGGCATGCAAATAAATCATACTTACACACTTAAAAACAAACTAGTCTACCAATCGATAAAATCACCTGCAAGTTAAGACACAAGGCAAGTATGTCTACAAATTTGATTTTAAGTTGATGTGGTTAGGCTAGCCTAGACCCAGCCTAGGCCATGTCTAACCGCTTATAAAATGCAGAAAAAAGACCAAAAACAAATTAGAATTAAGTTATCAACTAACTAGTGCATTAAAATTATTCATATACTTACTAATTACCTATATAAAATTAAAATGTATTGCTCACAAACTCTAATATTTTGGATTTTAATACGCCTTTTCTACGAATCGGTAGACATCTTGAAGTGATGACAAACAGCCTAAGTCAGGCGTAACAAACAAAAATAAGATAAGCTAGACCTAGCTGGTACGCCTAGCCGATACGCAGTGTGGCTAAGGAAAGTTTTGTTTTTCTGAGCATGTGCAGATTGTGCTTATCTGGCTCATTTACATAACAATACCGCACATAAGGCTAATTCAAGTTAGACTGCTTAAACCAGCCAGCTTCTTATCCTGGTAACAGTTAAAAGTCCTTGTTCTGTCTGTCTCGCTTGTTTTGTCTTTGAAGGAATAATGACTGTTTAGTCCAGGGGTGGGCAATAAAATCGATCGGAAGGCCAAAGTGACTTTTTGATTTAACACCGAGGGCCGCACCCAAACCTCGATTTTTTTATGTATTGTTACATCCTTGCCTATTTTTAATTAACTTTATATAATTATATATAATATAGTATTTTGTAGTTACCATTTTTATGACCTTAAGTTTTACTCAACATTTTCTAGGAAAGTACTGTCTTCTTATTTTAATTTGCTTTACTTTGTAAAGCTCATAAATATATTATCCTACAGTATGCTATTGTCCTATGACCTACAAGTTCCTTTACCCGTGGTCAGTATTTAATTAACGCAAGGTCAATGAACTGAGTCTGGTACCTCAAGACTTGAATGTGGTTTCGCATCCTGGACATTTACTTTCAGTTGGTCCTAACCACTTATTTATTACCTTTAATTAAGTATATGTTTATTGGACACTTTACCATAGCGTTTAATTGGTGGATTAGTTTGCTAAGCTTGTTGGAATTGGTGCCCTGATTTGATGGGACCCTTAATATGCAAAGTGTCACACCCATCTTAAATGGTCTTACTACCCAAAGTAATTCAGTTGTAATTTGGGATCCAGTGCAGACAACTCAAGACATCTTTATTACCTGGAACCCTGTTATTTTGTCCGGCTTCAGTTCCTCTCTTATCTGTAAGTAAAGTACTTAAATTTCTGCTTCAGATTCTAACCACCATCATCCTCTAAGCTTATTTATATGTTTAACTTCTATCTTTGTTTAATTACCGTATTATAATCGCATTGTAAATAAATTAT